CTCGCTCCCGCGGCCTGTCCGAGAAGACGGGAGAGGAGGAGGAGAAGGAGGAGGAGGAGGAGGAGGAGGACAAAGAGGAGGAGGAGGAGGAGGAGGAGGAGGAGGAGGAAAGAGGAGGAGGAGGAGTAGGAAGAGGAAGACGAGGACAAGCTAGGTGCGGGGTGCGCTGGCGCTACATCTGACATCCTACCATTCCCGCGCATCGAATCCCACTGCGCTGAATTCCTCTTCATCCGCCCGCAGGGGCGTCCTCGAGGACCTTGATGGCCCAGTGGCAGCTGCAAGAATTGACCCCTCATCTGCTGCACAATCGGCAAGGGGGGTTGGTGCACCACGGGCCCGTGATTGATCGGGCCGCCACATTCTACCTGGTCAGGGGCCGGACAGCGCCGAGCGGAGGAGGAAGGAGAGGAGGAGGAGGAGGAGGAGGAGGAAGAGGAGGAGGAGGAGGAGGAGGAGGAGGAGGAGTAGGAGGAGGAGCAGGAGCAGGAGGAGGAGGAGGAGGAGGAGGAGGAGCAGAATGAGGCGCAGTTGCAGCAGGATCGGGGGCAGGCGAAAGAGTGAAAAATAGGGGGCGGCAACGCCAAGGAAGGAATGCGCTGCAGCGCGACCGCGAAGCGAACACTGGGAGCAAACCAGGACTAGAAACGTTCCCGTCAAGAAAAATCCAAGACCGCGCTAACGGCGTGCTTGGTTAAAGGCGATGTTGGGAATCTGATGTTTGTGACACCGAGCTCGCGCAGAACAAATGGTAGGACATCACGAAACACACGTTCCTACACTTCTAACATGCGAATGTATCGAACGACAACGACACAGCGAGTTGTAGGAACACGCGAACCACGCGTTCCTACAATTGGTTTGGCCACGGCACACGCCTTCCTACACTTGGTTGTCCTACCTCGTCGTTAGCTGACACACCGTTCGCGCATCTACGGAACATATTGGACACATGAGCTTCTGAACAACTTTGTGGGAAATGCAGTGGTCGGGGAGAGATGAGACTGGTACGCGTGTAGGCATCGCCAATCCAACTGGCCAGACCTCGGGTAAGCTTTCCAGAGGATTGGTCCGCTCTCCCCTCACATGTCCTGCATTGCACCAAGCAAGTGCCACGAACACATTGCTAGCTTGAGCTCGAGGTCCCGTAAAAAACCCTCGGACGCTCGGATCAGGTGTGTTTTGTCCTGCGGGCGCGGCCCTCGGGGCCCACTGGGCATCCCAGGGATGGCCCCAAGGGATCTCCAAAAGAGCCCAAGAGCGGCCCAGGAACGGCGATCAATGGGTACTCCAGATTTCGTAATAAAAGGGAGGGGGTCTGGACCCTCGAAGACAAGCCATTTCAGACCTCCCCCGTGGGAGAGCCCTCCAAAACATCGTCCCCAGACCCCCCAGGCCCTCCAAGATAGCCTGGAAGAGACCCCCCCGAAATGAGACCCCCCTCCCTTTATTACGAAATCTGGAGTAACATGCCCCAGGAAAGTCCCAAGGTGGCCCAGGATGATGCCAAACAGCCCCCCTACAGGCCCTCAGGGAACTGAAACCGTTCGATAACATGACGTTGTTCAGTGATTCAAGCTTCCTCGCCTCTTTGCTTCCTATCGGCCTCTCAGGCCTCAAACTCCCCGGTCGCACAAGATGGCTCCAAGTGGGGTCCCAAGCTCCAAGAGGGCTCCGAGGACTCCCAAAAGAGCCACAGGAGAGGCCCAAGAGAGCTCCAAGAGAGCCCAACAGCGACCAAAGAGCGGGGGTCAATGGATGCTACCCGCCAAGATGTCCTAGACATCCCCAAGCGGCCTAAAGATAGCCCCGAAGAGCAGTGGGCATCACAGCCCGCTGTGGCCCACATCCTCAACGTGGTCCCAAATGGCCCACTACGAAGCCAAAAAGACACCCCCCCAGAAGAACCTTAGACATCCACGATGAGCCCCCAAATTCAGCCCAGAGACTTCCATGAATCTCTGAGAAGATCCCTTGCTAATGCATGCATACTTATCCAATGCCTTCGAAGAATTGAGCGCTCCGTTCCGCGTGCACTTGCATGACCTCTCGAGCATGATCCGCTCACCAATGGCCATTCCAAACATATCCTGATGCCAACAGTGGTACAATTGCGGCCGGCGGAGTGAGCGAAAAGGGGGAAAAGAGGGAGGAGGGGAATCGCGGGAGGGGGGCAGTGGGGAAAGGGCGGAGGGGAATCTCAAGAAAACTGCATCTGTGTACCACCACCATGCCTGGCCAGGACCATCCTGCGCCCTGGCTCGGTGCATACGCCCTGCAAGCCGAGGCAATGAAGGTCTATACCCTGGTCTGTATATGCCCTCTGCGGGTAAGGGGGCAAGGGCCAGCGCCTTCAAAGAGACAATGATGCTTCTAAGAAGCCTTGCCCCCTCCCCCTACCCGGCCTGCGCGTGACCGAGTTGAGACTCGAGACAGTGCCCCGAATTGAAAGCTGCACAAGCACCGAGGTGCGCGCGCGGGGCGGCCCCTGGGGGGCCCCAGACGAAAAATACCCCGGCCGATCCCCGGCTGACCCCCGGGCGATCCCCAGGGGGGAGGCTATTTTTCGACACCCCTCACGAGGATCGTGGCCTCCGAGGGGGGGGCTGCCAACGACTACCCCCCCTCCTGCCCCAAAGGGGCCCCCAAGAGCCCCCCCCCCAATACGCCGCCAAGGAGCCCCAAGACGCTCCCAAGAAGCCCCCAGTACGGCCCCAAGAGGCCGCAAATAGCGCTCCAGGGCCGGCGGAATGAGCGAAACGATCAAATAATCAAGTCCATACGGAGACCGAACACTCCGTACGGACTTACTCCGTATGGACTTAGCCTCCGCCGAGAGGCATCCGGGAATACTGGCGGTGACAAAGGAAGGGGTCCAAACTTCAACGTGGTGGGAAAACACTGCGAAATTAGCTCGCCGTTTTCGGCCTGTGGGGGCCCCTCACCAGGCCCAGGGCTGTAAAAAACGGCTCAAGGTGCAAATCCTGCCCTGGGTCAAGGGTCGAGACTTCCGCGGACCCTGCACTTACGAACATCAGTGCGTCGGATCTCTGGGGGGTGCTGTGACAGAGGACGCGGCGAGCCTACGGGGTGGCTTTCGCAGGCCGCCCACGCGGCACACCACGTGTGGAAACGAGGGCGCTCATGCGCGACTTGACGCGGACGCGCAGACGACCCCGTGCCTCTTAAGACGAGGCCAGAGAGAGAGGGTAAAATCGAGTGTGGAAAATTCAAGAATCTCTGAGATCCGGCGGCTCTAGACGTGGTATCGGGCGCCGCGGCCTTCTTCTCAGAGCGTTCTGGAACAATATGAGAGCGTCCCAGAACGCTCTAGAACGGACGCATCCTCGTCCCACCCTGAGATCCGGCGTAGCGAAAAAGTTGCAACATCGCAGAAAATCACGCCCGGAGCCTTAGACACCATCTTTCTACATCATTTGTTCGAGCCTTATCAAGCTGCGAGGGTCCCGGGGTCCGAAAACAAACACAAAAACGCCTTGCTCGAGAAACAAATTAGTGACTAGGATCTCAGGGTAACCGCGTCCGACGTGTCCCTACGTCGCTCAGATGGGGCCCGCCGCACAGACGTTGCATCGGCGATGCCTCGGCGATGCAGCGGCCTCCGCCTGTGGTTCGCGCCGCACCGTCGGGGAGTCGACGCTGCGGCGCGAGTCTTCGACCCGATGGACCGCCCGACTAGAGCCCCAGACCCCCGCCCGACCTGAGCATCTGCTCGAAACTAGCTCCCAGGGCCACTCAGGGGGCACCGTCCCATGCGGACTTCGCTTGTCTCCCGAGCCGCGACAAAGTGAAGAGAGGAGGAAGAGGAGGTGGAGGAGGAGGTGGAGGAGGAGGAGGAGGAGAGGAGGAGGAGGAGGAGGAAGAGGAGGAGGAATAGGAGGAAGAGGAGGAGGAGGCGTCGAAGCAAAGCAAATCTCAATACCAACGGACAGGAAGGAGGAAGAACACGATGGATTGGGAGGAGGACGAGGATTACAAGGAGGATCATCAAGAGCACTATGCCCCAACTCCCCCCCGATACATCCCCCGCAACAGGGTCGTCGACGACGACGATGACGACGGCGGCAACGACGACGCCGAGCGGGACAACGTGTGACCAACTTCGATGGACGACGACGAACGACGTCCCCCGCCTCGAGATCGGGGAACAACCAATTATATAAACATGCACTTTCGGAGGTCCGCGCTGACTTCTTGGATCGGCGCTGGGCCCCCTCCCTGGCGCGCGGAGCGCGCCTGGGGTGGCGACGCAGGGGAGCCAGCGCCGAGCAGCCCGCCGAAACTTCACGCGCGTGTCGCTGCTTGCTTCTTCCCCGACGAGATGGCCCTCCATTGGGACGCCCGAAGTGGGTACGGAAAGAATGGGTACAATGCCCAACAACCAATGTTGTCCCAGTCCGACAGCGGCCGCTGTTGGGCGGGCGGCCCTCTGTCTCGAATGGACGCAGGCCGCGGCGGGGTGGACCGCGAGTCCGGTTCAGAATGAACAAGAGCTGCTGTTGGGCACTGTGCCCAATTCTTTCCGTACCCATCTCGCTCGTGCAGACTCCAGGCGTCCCCGAGAGGGGGCGCCCAAAGACATCCAGAGGCCTCCGACACGACAGCGGCCCCCATTCACCGAACCGCGTCTGGACCCCGTGCGGGCCCCGCTCGGGCGCGGTGCGGCGCCTGGCCCTGCGGCCCCAAGGGCCGAGGAAGCTCTGCGCACCGCAGCGCTCCCGGGTCGAGGCTCGACGGCGCCTCGGGAGACGCGCCAACGCGGGCGCGGTGCACAGAGCTCGCCCGCGGACTCGAAGGCGCCGCCGACGGCGGCGACGGCGACGACGACGACGACGACGACGGACGACGACGGACGACGACGGACGACGACGGACGACGACGGACGACGACGACGGACGACGACGGCGACGACGGCGGCGACGACGGCGACGGTGCCGAGGCGGGCGACGCCCGCGGGGTGCGCGGGAGCTTCTACGGGCCTTGGAGCGGCCGCGGAGGCTCTGCAGCTGCTTGTGGGACGAGGAGGCGCGGACCTCGCGGGGGCGGGGCCTGCCTGGAGCAACAACTAGAAAATGCTGCGAACCCTTTGGGGGGGGACCTAAGATGGGAGGGCCAATAACATGAGGGAGGAGGAGTCGCTTCTGCAGCATATGTACCTAGGTTAGGAGGGCCAGCGGCATTAGGGATAAGGAGTATGTTTCATCAGATGTGCCTAGGTTAGGAGGGCCAAACACATGAGGGGTAAGGGGTCTTTTCTGCAGATGTACCTAAGCTAAGAAAGCCAAGCACATTAGGAAAAGGTGTCTTTTCTGCAGATGTACCAGACCAGACCGTCCAGATGTTCCACCTCTCGTGCAGAGACGGGGACCTCAGTGAGGCCACGTCTTCCTCGTGTTATTAAGCTCGGGGACTCATTGTTCTCGATGATCCCTCTGCCTGCTGCCGCTGCTCGTCTGGCAAAACGGCGAGTTACGATGGGCATGGCGATCAAAATGCCCGACTTTGAGGGGTTGGAATGCACGGTGGGGGGGCGTCCATCCTCGATCAGGGGTGCGTCCGAATAGCCCCTTGCAGATGCATCCTCGGTTTGACCCCCCTTTCTGAGCGACCTGCCTTTGGGGGGCAACTCTTGGCGGCGCGCACAAAGGAGTAAAGGGGAGGGGAGAAAGCTTCTTGGCAAGAAACTGCTTCTTAGAAGGCTCCGGCCTGGTAGCCTATAGACAACGCGCGCGCCTTCTAAGATGCAGGGGTGCTTCGGAAGCCTTCCCACCTCCCCTACCAGGGCTTAGCCTATATAAACGGTGCTTTTCGTTTTCGTTTTCGTGTTCGTTTCCCCTCGTTTTGTCGCCAAGCCGCCTCTGCCGCAAAACGACATCGAAACGACGACGGCCCACGGAATCTCCAAAACACCGTTCAGATCCAGCCCTGTCCCCTACCTCGCTCTGCGCGTGGCCGAAACTCGGGGCCTGGGGGCGAAGCATCGCCTGGGAGGAGGAGGGAAAGGGAAAGCCGCTCGACTCTGAAAGTACGGGGGCGCCAAAAGAAGATCGGGCTGCAGAGATCCCCGACTACGTGCTTCCAATGACACGTGTGCAGGGGCGACACATCGCATGTAAAGAGATCCGCAACGCCCTCACCATCACCACCACCATGCTCCTCCTCATCATCAGCGTAAGCATCATCACCATCATCATCATCATCAGCAACACCATCATCATCATCCTCCTCCTCCTCCTCCTCCTCGTCCTCCTCCTCCTCCTCCTCCTCCTCCTCATCATCATCATCATCATCATCATCATCATCATCATCATCATCATCATCATCATCATCATCATCATCATCATCATTCATCATCATCATTCATCATCATCATCATCATCAGCAGCAGCAGCAGCAGCAGCAGCGTAAGCATCAGCATCAGCATCAGCATCAGCATCATCATCATCATCATCATCATTATCATTATCATCATCACCATCATCATCATCATCATCACCATCATCCTCATCATCACCAACATCCTCATACACATCATATTCATCATCATAAACATCATAATCGTCCTCATGATCATCATCATCAACACCATCATCATCAGCACCACCATCACCATCACCATCACCATCATCACCATCATCATCATCATCATCATCATC